GATGTGTGTGTGGCTGGATGTGAGTGTGCACATTGGCAGATGTCTCCCCCCCCCACCTCCGTGTCCGAGCCACATTCCCGGCTGTGTTACAGGTCACCGCAAAACTTCCCGGGAGAAGGAAAAGCGACCAGGTGGCACTGGGAGGGTTTTCTGCCAGGAACGTGGCTGAGTGTTTAGAAGTAGAAACAGCAGCACTCTGCAGAGAGGAGTGGGGAGATTCCCTGGGGAGGGGGCCGGGGAGAAGAGTGGAGGGGCTGGTCACAGGGACTTAACACTGCCAAAAGAAAGCGACGTTCAGGGCGCAGCTTCCCCAAAGTGAGGAGATGCTTGGCTTCTGAAAAAATACCATTTTCTGCTTATTTGGTCTCCCTCCTGCAAGTCCAGAACTATCCGAGTGTGGGACAGAGGTCACAGGCTGGGTTTGTAAGAGAGATGTGTAAGAAAGGAGACAAAAACAGAGCAAGGAAGAAGTAGTTCTGTTCAGAACTAGATCTATAAGGAGAAAGAAAAAGATCAATCACTGGTCAATTGCTCAGCTGTTTGCTTTTCGGTGAAAACCTTCCATCCATCCATCCATCCATCCATCCATCCGATCCTTAGTCTGGCGCACACCCACACCACGATTGCAGGCTGTGTTTTAACCCGAGTACTTTGGAATTAACGCGTCGAGAATACCGACGATGCACTTGTGCTGCTAACATCTTTTAAAGCATTATAAGCTGGAGCAAAAGGATCATTGAGCGCTTGGATTAGAGTATTTTCAGAGTTTTTATGGGTGAGGGGCTAGCGGGTTTGTATCTTTTCTTTTTCAAGTGCTGGCGTTTCCATAGTGCTCTCTGGTTTGTCGGGAGCTGTGGGAGGCACTGAATACCTGGGACAGTGCCACAAGTTACCGTCTAAACCAAATCCACCCTCTAAGAAGCTCAGAGCAGGCATTGCCTTTTCCTTCTGTCCCTGTGCAGCCCCGTACTCCGTGGGGCTCCAAACTGGGAGTTGCTGGCTTTGTGCCTCAGTTTCCCCGGTTGTACTATGAAATAATAATTTTTGGACATTTTTCATGTGGAGCTAAGAAGTGGCTCAGTGCTTTAGTATTGCTTCCCTTATTCTTGGCAGTAAATTCGTGCATGAGCCAGCAGTGTGCCCTCGTGGCCAAGGCAGCCAATGGTGTCCTGGGGTGCACTGAGAAGAGCGTGTCCAGCAGGTCGAGGGAGGTTCTCCTGCCCCTCTGCTCTGCCCTGGTGAGGCCACATCTGGCGTTGTGTGTCCAGGTCTGGGCTCCCCAGTTCCAGACGGACAGGGAAGTACTGGGGAGAGTCCAGCGGAGGGCTGCGAGGATGAGGAGGGGCCTGGAGCATGTCTGGTATGAGGAAGGGCTGAGAGAGCTGGGCCTGGTTAGTCTGGAGAAGAGAAGCCTGAGAGGGGATCTCATCAATGCTTCTAATTATCTAAAGGGCGGGTGTCTAGAGGAAGGGGCCAGACTCTTCTCAGTGGTGCCCAGTGACAGGGCAAGGGGCAACGGGCACAAACTGGAACACGGGAAGTTCCATCTGAACATGAGGAGAAGCTTCTTCCCTCTGAAGGTGACCGAGCGCTGGGACAGGCTGCCCAGAGAGGTTGTGGAGTCTCCTTCTCTGGAGACATTCCCAACGCGCCTGGACACCGTGCTGTGCGACCTGCTCTGGGTGATCCTGCTCTGGCAGGGGCTTGGACGAGATGATCTCCAGAGGTCCCTGCCCACCCCCAGCAGTGTGGGGTTCTGTGAAATTCAGCGGTGTGGGGTGCTGCTCTGTTCTGCTGAGAGGCGCTGCGTTAGGCGGGTACGGCACAGCTTCTTCTTCCTGCGGAGTGGGGAAGATCCACGCTGTGTCCACACCTACCTTGGACAGCTGGATTACGAAGCTGGAGAAGCGAGGGAGGTGTCACGGCAGAGGGACGGAGAAGAGTCACATTGACCATCTAAATCCCCTGGTGCGGTTTGCAGGGTCTCTTACTGCACAACGGAACGCGCATATTTATTTAATAACGTTTTGCCTCCCAACCGGACTTGTTATTCTTCACGTCCTGTTTTCAGCGGCCAGGTCCGACGGAGCACCCCAGAGGTGGCCGCAGGCCAATGCCAGATGGCACGGTGCTGGTAGCCGCGGGAGAGCTTTGTCATGCCCTTTGAATCAAGACTCGTGCTGCTCAGGGCTCGCTCTCCTCCCAAATGGCCTCCTCGCAGGTCTGGCAGGACAGCCCGGCGCTCACACTTAGGTGCTGCTTTCACCAGTCTAACTCAGGTCTCTGATACTCGGAGTACAATTTGCCTCGGGATTGTGTTTGGGGTTTTATCAAGGGATTTACATGCCAGAAGATTTACCGTTAGGTGCCTCAAGGGAGTTTTAAAAGTGGATGGAGACAATGCCGTGCTCCCACTGAAATCCCATTTAAGAGTTTATATCATGCCTTAGCTGTACACCTCCCGTGTGCCAAGTCACTGGGGGAAGATTCCCCGCTGTTGCATACAAGTTTTTAAACTAAAGCGGCCGCCTGCCATCGTTGTGACATGGTGTGTACCCACGGTATGGTCTGATGATGTCATACTTGTTTTCACCCTTCGCACTGCTCGCTGTGTGAATGAACATCCCTGGCCGTTGTGCCTGGGTGCCGGGGGAGTCACCGTGTTGCTGCACCAGGTAAAGCACCGGCGCACGCGTCCGCAGGAGGAGGAATTTAGCTCAAATTGAAATCCTCGGGCGGTTTTGGAAAACACAAGGGGCGTAGCTGGTTGAACGAGCCTGTAGTGTGAGAGTGACTCACGTTTGTAAAGGATGCGACCAGTGATTCAGATCTGGAAACATCCAACAATTTATAGGGAAGGAAGGGAGATAGGAGGGAGTCCAGCTCCGATTTCCATCCTTGAAACAGGCAGTCACACTCCCAGCGATGGAATGACCCCCCGGACATGGCTCACACTGGATTTATGGGGCTGAGGAAGGTGCTGGGAGGGTTGTGGCCTCCCTGAGCCATGTTTGCACCGGTGTGGCACGTGAAATTGTCTGTACCCTGTCCCCGTCCCCGTCCCTGGTTGTCCTGTGATTTGCATTCGTGGTTACCACAGTAAATGTGGCCTTGTGCCCACAGATGCAGTGAAATCAGTGGATCTCGCATACCGGAATAGCTAATGGAAGAATTTAGTCTTTTATTAGCTGCTAATTAACTCAGTGCATAGTTTAACAACCTTTGTGTAGACTGCATTCTGGGATGATTTGTTTTCCCAGTTTGTATTTTCAGTAGCGGTGTATTTTTTTATTGTGGTTGCAGGATATATCAAAAGTAGCTAATAAATAACACCGCAGGAAAAAGCAACTTACAGCCCAGAGCTGGGAGCAACCACCTGGCCGCGAGCAGGAAAGACGGAACCAGAAATATTTAAATTATAACGTTACAAAATGACGGCAATCGCTTCTTTAGTACCTTTGAGTCTGTGTAAGGGTGTGATTTTCCTGCTGTGAGCATCGCCAAGTGACTTCGGTCCCGGTGCTTGGTGCTGTACATCGGGAGATGTCCCAACAGCCCCTGCCGTGCTCCAGGACTCCTCCCTGCTACACAAAGTCACCCAAAATTTCCCGTAAGCAGGGGAGGAGGTGGAAAAGTGGGAGCCCCGGGTCGGTGCACCCTCCTTTGCAGGGGGGACGTGAGCCTGGGGCTGAGCTCCCGTGCCACATTTCACTATCTTTTTCTCCAAGGGAGCAGGGAACAACGGACTCGCAGGGAATTGCTAATATCACGGCTTTGAATTTTGTTACAGGGAGCATAAAAATATCATTGTTTTTTAAATGAAGAGGGGGAGGGTATAGGAGGGAGGGAAAGGACCTTGAAAATGTGGGCAAAATGAAAAGAGAACCTCTCTCTAAAGTGATGTTTATGTCCTCCTGCTTGCTGTCCTCAAACATCCTATTTGCTCTGTTCAGCCCTGATGTTGCAGTTTTGCTCCCTTATGATGTGTCGATTCATAATAAACAGTTACCAAAATATCTTCTTGCTGCAAAAGCAGAACAACAAACACTCTCAGTTTATTTATGTATTTAACACCCCCTCCTCCCCCCCTGCATGATTTTGCCTCTGGATATCAAGTGGGAAACTGCTGCTTAGAAGATGAATTGAGTTTAATTAGGACATGTGTTTTTTCTTGTCTCTGAAGATAATTACAGCACTATTGTCTGGGAAAAGGGGTCTGCTTGATGGGAGAATCTACCCCTGTGGAAAGGACCAGGCCAGGGGAGTGCCTGAGTTTCCTCTAAGGGAAAACTCAGCTCTCCTCTCCTTGCAAGACTCTGGCAGGGTCCGGTGGCTCAGGTTGGCAGCAAGATCCGAGAGTCGCCTGCTGCGGAGTGACTCGCTCAAGGCTCTGCCCCATTCCCAACAACTTAAAATTGGGAAATAGAGGAGAGAGAGTGGTTCCTGTCCAGAGAACACTCAACAGGGATGTAATTCTGAGTGGGTCAGGCTATGTCCGCATCCTGATGAAGCACCTTAAATCTTACAGGGGCTTCCAGCACGGCAGAACCA